CTTTTCTGGAAAGAGAGGAGAGCCCAGAGAGACGACACTGGGAGCAGAAATGGTGTGAACGCTAACATGACACTGCGTGACAGTCTGGTTTGCTACAATTTAGAGATCGGCCAAAGAAATCTGAATATTGGGGCCCCACTAAACACTTGGGCAATCAGTATTCAGGCTAATCTAGAGTGGCTGGAATATGGAGAAGCAGGTGAATTTTATTAGCTATATTTACTCTTTATAAAATGGAATCTTGAAAACAAGATACTATATGGAGTTCAGGAACATAAGTGGTGGTAGATTAGATCAGGCCATCAAGTCACCTGCTTGGCATCTTACCTCCACCAGCGGTCAGTCCTAGCAGTTATAGAGAAAGTCACAAACAAACAAAAACTTTTCCACTGTGCTTATCCAATGGTGTATTATTTATCAAGAATGAGAAAAATTCTCTCCTGGTCCTAACAAGCCAGCTGATTTACACCTGAGGCTAGCTTTTACTGGTATGGATAAAATCTAGTGTGTGTGGCTTGCAAATACTCAGTTTTCTTTCCTCCCACCAAATAATACTGGGGCTTAAGAACTGAATTAAAGCTTCCTTTCTTTCACAGAATTCCTCAGAGAGAGAAGACTGTAATAATGGCGAGCCCCCTAGGAAGATCACGCCAGAGAAGAATTCACTTAGACAGGTATGCAATTAGCCTCTTAAAAATACAATCCAGCTTTCAGATGGCTTGACTCTTAAAATGCTTTGGGAAACAAGAGTCTGAGCTTAGGTTCCTGACTTTAATCTGGTGTATTTGCCATGCTGGAGCCTGCATATCCTTTGTTACTCCCCTTAGTGGGAGAAGGCAAGTAGCATTGTACCTGGGAAAATCAGACGTGCTGGGCTTTTATAAATATGAGCAAGCCTAAGTGACTAATGTAGTGCCATCAGCTGGGACTTTGTAATCTGAAATTTCTTGTTTTGCTAATCAGTGGGGACTCTCCAGCCTTGGTCTGTACTACTCCTTCACTGAGCGTACATATTGCCTTTCTACAGTACCTAGCACCCAAGAATCTCCAGGTGCTTTAGAATAGCTGTGTTTCATACCATACCTAGAAGGCGGGCTTTGAGAGCCACTGTCACACTGATAACCTAAAAGTAGAGCTACTTTAATTTCCCTCTAAAAGTTTGAGGAGTCCTTGTTGATTTGCTGTGCCCCCAGAAACATTTTAACCTCTCTTCTGATCCTTTCTCTGTATTAAAACAAATTCCTTGCATCTTAATTGTAATGAAGTTCTACGCAGCAGGGAGTATATCTCCCTGTATGTATTCTGCATCGCTGAGCACCCTGGCATTCAACAAATCAATGCTTCAGTATCCTTAGAGAGCAAATCCCCCCCCCCCTTTCTCTCAGCCCAAAAATCAAGTCAACTTGCCTAACACCAACGAAAGATCCAATTCAGTGGTTCCACCATCCTGGATGAGAGAGAAGAACAAAGGTTTTGTAAACTGTCTATGTACCTCTGTGGTCTCTTTTATAATCTTCAGAGGGGTAGCTGAGTTAGCCTGTACAGGATAAACTTAAAAAACAACAAATAGTCTGGCAGCACTTTAAAGACTAACAAAACATGTAGATGGTATCGTGAACTTTCGTGGTCAGAGCCCACTTCTTCTGATGACTGGAGTGTTCGATGTCCAGAACCAAAAATAAATAAATAGGGAAGAAGGCGGGGAGGGGGGACGGGACAAAAAGGGGCAGTGGGCATATAAATATCAAAAGGAAATCCGAGCTAGTATGTAACAGGCAAAACCGATAGCCTATAAGCACCTACAGACTGGATAGTTAAAAGAACCATATAAGAACCATTAGTTAGCAATTAGAGAGGAAGAGAGTACAACAGTAGAGGGTACAGTATAGATGCCTACTCATCTATCAGTCCCTTCAATATTGTCTAAGGAAAAATACATTTTATAGGAAGAGTACAGACTGAATCTCTCTTGTCCAGCATCCTCAGGACTTGACTTGCGCCGAACCAGAGAATTTGCCAAACCACAGGAGGTCAATATTGTCTAGCAGTATTACGAAGATTTCCACTGCTTGCTGGGCTCTTAGAAGACATTTAGGGATAAATTAGAGCTAAATAACAGCACAGAACGCTGAGAGCCAGTACTGGTGGCTGTAAAACAGTATGGGACTGTGGCGGACGTGGCCACACCCATGATAAGTGGACATGTGGCTAACTAAAATCATGCCGGACCATAGATGTTGCCAGACCAGTGTGTGCCAGACTAGAGGGGTTCAATCCATACTTATTTTTTCCCATAGCTCAAGGAAGAAGGATGCTGGTTTTATAGCTCAAGATTCAGCCATAGAAAGTGTCAGTGATGTAATCTGTGGTGTGCATGATGCACAGTCCTTCTGTGAGAAGCAAATTATCTAAAAAATGGAGCTAGTACAAGATCAAGTGGGATCCCTGGAAAGAATGCCAGATTCCAATGATGTATTCCCAGTCCTCCCGCTTTCCTATCTTTCTCATGCTTTAACTTGCTATTTTCTATGAGTGCGGGCCCACAGATCCTACCAATTGATCTTTCAGCAGCTTGGGGGTCAGAGCCAGAACTGTCTGTCGTAGGCAATGTTGTGGGCGCCACCAGAGAGCTTCGGGGGTTAATTCTGCTTTTTCAGCAGACAACAGGCTTTCCTAGGTCTTCCTGCTGCTTCCACAAGATGCCCAAGCGTGCTGAGCAAGCCCAGGAAGGAGAGAGAGGAAAAGATTTTCGCTTCTGGCAAATGTCACTAGGAGGGGGGTGAAACACTGCAATGGGTTGCTTAAAGAGGCTGTGGAATCTCCATTCTTAGAGGTTTTTAAGGCCAGACTTGACAGAGCCCTGGCTGGGATGATTGAGTTGGGGTTAGCTGTGCTTCGGGCAGTGTGTTGGACTAGATGACCTCCTGAGGTCTCTTCCAGCCCTAAATCTTCTATGATCCTGTGTCCTATCATTAAATATCTTAATGGGGACCTCTGCATCCTGATAACTCATCTGAAAAGGAGAAGAAAACTGCAACCAAGCAATACAGATTTCAGAGTTTCCTATAAAGCATGTTGGTTCTCCTCGTGGTTCTTTGTCTTCTACATACCGCCAGCGAGTCAGTGCATACCACAGCAGAACATAGAACAAGAGCATGGCAGAGTGGAAGGAATGCAATGATGATTTCTTTGACTTGGCATATGCCAAGAAATCAGCATTATTCCAACTCAGACCAGTCCTGCATGAGATCAAAATTAGCTGCAAGCTTCTCCCGGTAGCACAGAACTGTCTGCCCTTCTTGAAAGACAGATGTGTCCTTGACTTGGAGGAGGAATTGTTGTAAGAACCAATCAGATATCTCAAACACACAGTGATGGTTCTCCTAATCTTCAGCAATACCAATAGAAGCCAGTGCAAGAGCAGCCATCAAGTCCTCCTATAGATAGTCAGTAGAATGAGTCCCACCATCAGAGGGGGGACTTGGTCTGACTCTGTGGTTCTAGTTTCAAAAAGGATCAAGAAGGGAGAAGAAGGCTATTCTGAATCCGGCATCAAAATGGCAAGAGCCTAGTGAGTGAGCTTCGGTAAAACCGAGTCACAACACAGCAGCAGCAGCTGAACAGAGCAAAAAGGGTTTAAAAAATAAAACGTTACAGTATACTGTATCCAGTATGTACAATAAAAAAGGTTAAAACACTGGGATATTGGGATAGAGAGTATGCTTATTAAGTTTGCAGATGATACCAAACTGGGTGGGGTTGCAACTTCTTTGGAGGATAGGGACATAATTCAAAATGACCTTAGCAAGTTAGAGAAATGGTCAGAGGTAAACAGGATGAGGTTTAATAAAGAGAAATGCAAAGTGCTCCACTTAGGAAGGAACAATCAGTTCCATACATACAAGATGGGAAGCGACTGTCTAGGAAGGAGCATGGCGGAAAGGGATCTAGGGGTCATAGTGGACCAGAAGTTGAATATGAGTCAACAGTGTGATGCTGTTGCAAAAAAAGCAAATATGATTCTAGGTTGTAACAACAGGTGTGTTGTAAGCAAAACTCGTGAAGTCATTCTGCTGCTCTACTCTGCACTAGTTAGGCCTCAGTTGGAGTACTGTGTCCAGTTCTGGGCGCCACATTTCAAGAAAGATGTGGAGAAATTGGAAAGGGTCCAGAGAAGAGCAACAAGAATGATTAAAGGTCTAGAGAACATGCCCTATGAAGCCAGGCTTCATGAACTGGGCTTGTTTAGTTTGGAAAAAAGAAGATTAAGGGGGGACATGATAGCGGTTTTCAAATATCTAAAAGGGTGTCACAAGGAGGAAGGAGAAAATTTGTTCCTCTTGGTTTCTGAGGACAGGACAAGGAGTAATGGGCTTAAAGCGCAGCAGGGGAGGTTTAGATTGGACATTAGGAAAAAATTCCTAACTGTCAGGGTGGTCAAATATTGGAATAAATTGCCAAGGGAGGTGGTGGAATCTCCCTCTCTGGAGATATTTAAGAACAGGTTAGATAGACATCTGTCAGGGATGGTGTAGACGGAGCTTGGTCCTGCCTTGAGGGCGGGGGGGGGGCTGGACTCGATGGCCTCTCGAGGGCCCTTCCAGTCCTATGATTCTATGACTTTATATACAGTATATACTGGATACCGTGTCCGTGTCCACCTTATAATACCTCCTGATAGTCCAGCATATCAGATAATCTGGCACCACCTAGGTTCCGGAATATCGGAAGTCTACTGTATTATTCTTGAAAAATGCATCAGCAAACAAAAAGTGGAAACATTGAAATGCACCTCAAAGGCTGTCTCCAAGGTGGCCTTCTTATCTTTTCTCTCTGTAGGCATTCTAATATGATGTCATTGCACGGTCCTTCCTTCACTTTTAGAACTCGATATTTCCAAACTTCTTCAGTATTTGGCCTGGTGGCAGCATTTGCACCTGTTGGACTTGTCCTGCAAGTTTGGGGAAGTGACGTGCACTCATCTTTCTCCCCTGTTAGTAAAGGGCAAGAAACTGGCCGAGGTTTCCAAATGTACGTGTAGCATGTTAGAGGCATGCACAGCCGTGTATTTTATTCTTTCCCCCAGAATTAGGGCACATTGAATAAGGGCGATGCTTGTTTGGTACTCTGCAGTAGAAAAGTTTAAGTGAGGTGCTGCATTGCTTTACATCTCACTGCTCTGATTTCATGCCATACTGAAGCACAGCCGTTACTTTGAAAGTTACTTTGGGCTGGCAGGCTCTTTTGGGCTTGGGGGCCCATCATTCAGAGTCATAGACTCAAAGGCCGAAAGAGACAAAAGAGATCTCCTTGTCTGGTATAGACCAGAGAAGTTCTCCAAAGTAATTCCTAGGGGAGATCTTTTAGGAAAACATCCCATCTTGATTTAAAAAATTAGTAATGGAGAATCTACCACTGCCCTTGGTAAATTGTTCCAGTGGTTAACTCCTCTGACTGTTAAACATGGATCCCCTTACCTCCCGTCTGAATTTGTGAGGCTTCAGCTTCCATCCACGGGAAGGGTTATACCTTTCTCTACCAGACTGAAGAGCCTATTAGTAAATATTTGTTCCGAATGTAGGTACTTACAGGGTGAGCAAGTCCTCCCTTAATCTTCTCTTCGTCAAATGAAATCCATTGAGCTCTGAGGATCTTAAGGGATGACACACTTTCC